ATATATAACATGGTCATACCCCCTGGGGGGGGGTGGGGTGGTCCCTCTTACATCAGCATTGGAATGCCTAAAATGTTAATATTTGTTTATACTACTGGAGCGAGGCACATACAGTATTAAATACAGACTTATTGATTCTCTCACTGTTGAAAGTAAACGACTCATCACAAATAAAAAAATATAAAACTGTATCTAAAATTAAATTAATCAGTCACAAATTGCCCATCAATCCCTTGGGGAGTGTGAGTTTAATAAAACTATCATCATTCACACATCCCTTAATGGTTCAAACTTTAAATTATAAACTTAAATTAATAGAAGATAATCTTGCTGAAGTCACTTCAACATAATAAAACAGACATGAATCATTAGCTGAACATTGCATGTCTCTGATTACTTGTTCCCCATTTTAAACTTTTGATCACTGCAACCACTAACATGAAGAACACTCACCCTCATTACATTTGGAGGACGAGCTCACAGAGCGCCTCTGTCTTTCTTTCGAACGTGTCTACGGAAGAAGATGACGAGTTGTTGAAAACTGTGGTCAAGCAGTTTTACACCCCTGAAGTCTTATTACCTGTGCTTGAAGTGCCTGTAAAATGTTCTTTGTTGTGTTGAGAGGTAGAATCGGTACGGGACGTGAACACAGACAAAAGATAAACATCTTGCATGGCCTTTGTTTAGTTTTTTTKGGGGGAAACTATCAGTATGATGTATAAAAGAAGAATGTTCTTGAAAAAAAAAAGGCGTTTGGATTGTTGTACCCTGATTTATTCATGAAATTAACAGTAAAGAACAAACTAATATTCTTTGCTCTTTGGATCTTATCATTGTCCTGCAGTCAAACTCTCCTGCTGATCCTTTTTTTCCCCCAATGGGAACTGGGCATCATTTCTCGTTTTTTTAGCCATTCTGCTGCTCATTCATGGAGATTTCTCAATTCAAATTGAAACAAATAAACAAATAACCAGATTTTAAAGGGCCTGTGACATGCTTATACTTCAAATACAAAAAGTAAAAGAAAACATATTTAAGAAAATTCCCATAATATGCTCGATTTTACCCATTTTGTCTCATAATTGGCATAATTTCTCTTGAATTTGGCTCAGCAAAGTGAAACAGAAGTGACATCAAAGGGGAACTCTTTAAGTCAAGAAAATCTCTAGTCTTTGTTTATTGAAACAATCTTATTTAAACTCTTCTTCATCTCCGATAGTGACTCAAAATAATTTAAAGAAACATCAGATTCTTCTTTAGCCTGTTAATAATGTAGCAACGCTCTGTTTACATGCAGACATTCCCCTGTGACATCACTTCCTGTTTCTTCACATGCAAAATATCTCAACAACTGTTCATCTCAACAGCGTGAAATTCGTTGCGCAATATGTTATCAATGTTTACTTTCCAAAAATGCATTCACATTTATTACGAAAATTTGATGTCACAGGCACTTTAAAACTGCTGTGAGTTGCTCTATTTATGTATTTTGGCAAATTAGAAATGGCAGACTTCCTCCTTGGTTTAATGTTTTTTTGGACATAGATGACTTTTTTAAAAATCATCTTTCTTTGTCCAAATATGAACATTCGTGTCAGCTCACTGCAGTTGGACTATTTTTTTCTGTTTGAACTGAGGAAACTTCTTAAATAAGAAGCAAAATGATTCTAAAACAAGAAAAAGAAAACCAGTCACCTTTAAAACAACAAGAAACTCTTAGGATTCTTTTTGCCGTCTTTCGCTTCTTTGTGTTGCACGTAAAGACATTATTTGTTTGTGTTTTACAGGAGGAAGAGGCTGAGTAATTTAAAGTGGGGCGATGATGGCGGCTTGTTCTGGTAAAAAAAAAAAAAACACTATTCTTTACTTTTCTTTACTGGCTTCAGTGGCGCTGCTCCACCACCGGGGGCCAGTAGTACAGCATCATGTGGAATGAAGGAGCAGAACCCTCTTCCTGCTGCTTTTATACTTGGCCTTTATGTAACCGCATTAATTAAAAAGATAAACCTGTATTTAGAATTTTGTTTGCCTCTTTGACTTTGTTGTCAAATCTAAAGGCAAATGCGTAATTACACAATTACTCAACCTGTCACTGTGGCAACAGTTCCTAATGTACCTGTGCAGCAGCAGCTTTTATTACAGAAAAATGCCATTGCCTTTTTATATTTACAGTGTATAAATATCACCAAGCCTAAGACTGTCCTTGCCTTACCTTTAGTGTCCAAGTACAGTTGATATTTTACTCTTGCTTCACTTCCAGTTTTACACAGAATAATGTGGATACTCCACCTAAAAGCAGCCTCAGTGAGTGCCTGGGGATCACCCTGAGCCACAACAAAATCATCATACAGTTCCCTTTTTTTCATCTCTGAGGAAGTTTTAGTTATCATGATGATGATGATGATAATTTTAATCTTCAAAACCAGATCTTTAGTTCTGCTCTGTGTGTCTKGGTAATCTGTGACCTGCTGCAGGAGGAGCTTTAAGAAACAATCAGTGAAGGAATGGGGGGCGAAACTGGTCCCTCTCCTGTCATGTAGCTGCCTCGTCTGAGCCCTTGTCATGCCTCGTTAGGAGAAGCTGCTAAGCGAGCTCTCAGATGTGCCGCCCCGGAGAAGAGGGGCACGCTGGGTGGCACGTTTAGACGCAGAGGTGGTGGTGGCTGCCGCCGACAAGCAGCAAATGTGTGACCTCGTTCTCCCTCTCGTCTGTTTGTCTTGTTTTCTAGCCTGAAGGAGCCACAATGTTCCATCTCTCCCCCCCTGACCCCTGACCTCCCACCTCCCTCTCCGAGCCTCGTCGGACTGCGTCTCACCACTGGACTTCTCCAGAAACCGATGGTTGTGAAATCCCAAACTGCCCTAACCCACTTTTAACTGCCACATTGACTTAATTTTTATATCTAATGTGTTGAGACGTGCTGTAGAAAATAATAAAAACTGTGCAGAGTAGCCAGGTGGCATTTGTTACAAGTAGCTTTTTGTAAAAGGCAGTTTTGTTGAACTAAAACAGATTTCTCATTTTTGTTTCTTTGAGGAGTCTTGATTATCAACCTTACCAGGTGGTGACCTTTTTGATAAAAATGGCCCATCTTTGTTTGTGGCTCCTGGCTTTCATAATTCACCCACTCTGAACCGTTCTGCTCTTTTCTTCTCCACGTTTTGTGCCGTACTTCCTGTTTTTATCAACCCGAATGCCAGCTGTGACTTTTAATCTTTGAATGGCCCACGTGAAGAAGAACATTTGCAACATGCGGACTTCTCCACCAGAACACGAACTTCTGCCAACTGATCAATGCACTTTGTTGAACAAAGACTAAAACATCAATCTAAAATGTGGATGTCATGGAAAAATAAAGTTGACTGATTAAAAAATAAAATCATGGATTTTATTTTGTTTTTGTTTAAGCACCCCTGAAAGCAGATTTTTATAGGGTCTAAGAAACATTGGGTGAGTTGAATAGAGAAATGGTCGGCAAAGAAGCAGTAGTCATGTTTTAGGACTCGTCTTGACAATAACTAATTGATTCTATGATTCCTTCAGCTGTGAAAACTATAGAGCAGGGGTGTCAAACTCAGATAAACAAGGGGGCTAAAATTCAAAGCTTGGCCCAAGCCTAGAGCCAATTTCTGTCAATACTGAAAATTTGTTAAAAAACAAATTATTCTTATTAAAACACAAATGATATTTTCCAAATTTTGCTTTATGTAGCATTTAGCAATCATAACCTGACAAATAAAGAAAAAAATAGAATAAATTCAGAGACTCATTTTTAACATTTTTAACTTCTGCCTTACTCTCTACCATCAACTTTTTAAAAGATATGTTTCTGATCACAATCAAGCAAATCAAGTAAAAAAAAAAAACACTAAAAATTCAACTATTTGACTCTAAAATAAGAAAATAATACAGAAAAAGATCCTGAAAGCTAATTGCATGTTGCCCTTTCCACACTAAAAATTACTGAAAAATTCCAACTGAATTCTTGGCCTGAATGTGTATATATATACAGTGGTTTGCAAAAGTATTCATACCCCTTGAACTTTTCCATATTTTGTCACATTACAACCACAAACATAAATATATT